CAATTCACACTTTGTACAGAACTTACTACTTATTCGGAAATACTGTTCTCTAGAGATATACCACAAATGAGCATGTTATAGTAAATAAATTGATTAAAGAGGACATTGACAAATGGACATCCTTAAGGCTAAGTCTATGGGGTGAGGTAAATGCAGTTAAAATGTTTATGTGGTTTCGTTATTAAATACCTGGCAAATATTTCCAGAAGCTTGATGCTTTGTTTTGTAAAATTTTATGGAATTCTACTTTTCCACAAATATCCTTGAAAAGGATGCAACTTTGATGAAGGATGACCAAAAATGTGGATTTGGCTTCCTTCATCTTTCCTTACAGCATCAGGCCTAGAAGCTGGCCTTTTCCACATAGCTTAGATTTCCCTCCCTGGTCATTTCTGGAATTTCCATGTTTGGATCTGCTTCCCAAGTGGACTACATCTTTCAAGAGAGGATGATGTGCCTTTTCTAGTCACAGTAGCCAGAGAGTTGCAGCATATATTTCCATGGGATGGGATGGGATGGGATGGGATGGGATGGGATGGTGTAACTTGGTTTCCTGCCACAGCAGGGGTTTGGACTCAGTGGCCTTCATGGCCCCTTCCAACTCTACTCTTCTATGATTCTATGGCAAGTGGAGTATGACTTATTTTCATATGCAAAATTAGCTATAGGGGCATCCCAAATTTAAAGATTGGCAAGAAAATGCTTGGCCAATTTTAGCTTGCTGGTCCTGATGATAACTTGTTGCCATTTTCCTCTTTGCATGCTAATTATGAACTGCTTGCTATGGTTGCACAGTAATACATGCATTTGAAATGCTGGAATCTAGGTTTGGTTCTGCTGCTTTTACAGCTCCTGAGCTACTTGTGTTATTGGAAGCACTGACTGAAGCTACATTGGCCCACCATTCCAGTATCTACTACCAGTGAGGAAATAGGATACATGGGATCTCAGCCAAAGACAGGCCCCCAAGCTGGAGCATCCATTTTGTCCAATCAATGGAGTGTTTCATTTTGGAAGAGTTAAAAACCTTAGACTCTGTCAAATTCAGCAACAAGTGATGCTGTAAGTATACTGGACGCCACAGTCTCACTTTGATAAATGCTTGTTCGAATCAGACAATTGCTGGTGGTGCAATGCTGCTACTGCTTCTCTTTTTCACATGTTTGGCAATGCCCTGCGTAGCTTCCTTTTGGGAAGAAATAATAATTCAAATAAATGTTGTTATGGAAAGTTCTTTCATATTTAATCCTACACATGTTCATTTAACGACCTACCCATCTCTTGGAATCTAACAAAAGGTCAGCATAATGGATTTTCCATACGCTTCTGAAAACTAAAAGACTAATATTAAAACATTGGAAGGCTAAACAGACACCTGCAATAACATAATGGGTGGAGGATTTAATGAAACTTTCTATTTTTGAACATGTGTTCTTTAGGCATAATTTACAAATGGAGAAATATATGGGTATTTGTTTAAGTTTGTTTGCCTTTGTTTATGTATAGTTATTTTTAATCATGGAAGTACATTTTGCTATATATTGATATATAGGGGTATATAACACATATGTAATTAGCACTTCCAAATCCAAAACCTGTAATATTTGATCTTTTCTCTGTTCAGTTTAATTAATTAAGGAAAGTGTAGGGATAGCGAGGCTATTCTTTCCCTTTGCCTCTTGCCTCCACTTTCCTCCCTCTCCTCTGCTGTTTCCCTGTGTCGGATGGTTGATCGTAAGCTTTCTGGATAAGGCCTTGTCCTCTTCTGCTCCGCAAGGCACATGTGCACTGATGGTGCAGTCGGTCAATAATGCTGTGCCCTGGAACAGACTTGCTTGGCAAAACCTCTATTCCTGGCTTTCACGTTATTACATACTCCTTTTGAGAGATCAAAGCAGCTTACGTGAGCCCGGCATCTCAACTACTTAGCTTCAACCATGCTATAGCCCCAGATGCTCTTAGCCCACACTTAGGATGATGGATTTGAGAGAGGAAATTTGGCCTGAATTACAAGAAGCACCAGTGGATACCCACACACTTGCCCTGTATAGAAGGAGATGAAGCTATTGAACTGTGACACTCCTGGCCATAAAATACAAGGGTCCATGAGTCCAGCTGATGGCAAAGACACAGTGCTCACACTGTAAAACACTAGGACAGGATCATACTTCCTGAGGCCAGAAGAAACATGATAGTTACATAATCTGGATATACAGAATGTGATATTTAGTCTACTTGGCTCAAAGTTCTCGCTTTTAGAATAGAATTTGATTTCTATAAAAAACTTGCACACATCCCAGTGTCCTCTGGAAACTATCCCAGTGTTTACTTGTTCTCAGTTCCCACTAAATTGGCCTAGCATCCTACTAGGAGTATTTAAAACCACTGGATTGCAGGGAAAACAACCATCTCCTTAATAGTGTTTACAGAGAACTCAACTGGCTCATCTAGCACCTCTATAATATGCCTAATCATTGAGCTGATGCGTCATACATTATACTTCCCCCAAGGCATGCACGTGTTTCCAACACTTGTATACTCCCCCTACTCTGGAAAAAACCCAAGTGTTGAACTGATCAAAATGCACATGGAAAATGTCAAGAGGGTGTTACAACGGATCTGCTTACCAGGTGGCAGCCAGGTTCAGCTCGGGCTGCTTTCTAGATTTCTGACTTTGTAGTGACAACCCATGTTTTAGGCAACCCCATGATTTGTCATGCGTAAGAAGGACAGAATGTGCAGATGGCCTCCAATGAGGCTACCATTTTGCTTTTACTCAGGAACCCTTGATAGGCTCCTTTGAGATCACTGTGCATGTTGTCTGTGGTTTGTTGTTGGTTAACCACTGGGTTCGGATGTCAAGCTCTATAATCTTTAAAGGGGCTGATCACGGGTTGCTAAATAATTTTAGAAAACCTGCAGGACTCCCACTCTTGCCTGCTCATCCCCAACAACTCATGGCTTGCTTAACTCATGGGCTATAAAACCTTGCCGCCTGGCAGGATGGCACATTTAAAAAGTATATTTTGCCATCTCAGCCCCATCAGGATCTTGGCTTCAATTGTCCCTGCAACAAGCACAGTAAATCACAGCATCTGTCACAACATCCCTAAAACCAACAGATCAGACCAAGCCTACAACAGAAGCCAAGCATTCTTCTGTTTCAGAGACCGGAAAGTGCTAACTAAACAGGAAGTTCTTAAGTTTTCTAAAAGCTGTGAAACTGTTAGCCAGGAATATTTCTCTGGGGAGATTCCAAAAACCCCTCCCATTGTCACTGGGTTGCAGAACCTCAGGCCCACAAGACAAATCCAGACCTCTTTGGGTCCCACACTAGACCCTAGGGTTTCTCAGAGGGCAAGGCACCCTTCCCCTGACACTTGGTACTTTCCTGACTTTTGTGCAGGATTCCCCCACCACACCCCATTCTGAAAGACTAAAATCCCTCTCCTAAGCCTCACTTACTGGCCAGGAACTCTGAGCTCCCCCCAGTCTGGCCCTATCCTTTTTGCCTTTGCCACCCACACGCCATCAAGAGAAAGCAGCCCGTGAGAGTTTCTTCAAAACGGAATGTGACTCTTGGAATGGAAAAGGTTCTGCTGTCCTGTTGACATGACCATTAGCCAAGTTCACAGAACAGGCAAATCTGTATGCCTCACACTTGTAAGATGCAGAGGTGAGGCCTAGTTCTGTGATCCTTCTAATAATAATCCAGAAGCACTACGGCTTGAAAAGTCTGCACCAGCCCTCTGGAAGGGGCTCTGAAGCGGACTTTGGAATACGAACACCTGCCCGGTCAGCATAAACTACACAGGAACCTCAGTGCGGCATTCGGGGCCGTTCTTATATTTGACAAGAGGGGGCCCTGCATGGAGCACAATGCAGAATTCAAAGCTAAAGGTGACCCCATGAAGGCTGCCATGGTGACCAGATCTCTGTTCCCTAGAAACATAGAAACAGAGTGAGTCAGATGGGGCCTCCCAGGCCATCTAGTCTGACCCCCGGCTTCAGCTGGCTCTGCTCACGACATGCCCACCATGTGCATGGCTAGTCTATCCTTGAACACCCTCACCGATGGGGCCTCAACCACCTCCCATGGAAGTCCATTCCATACCCTCGGGGACCTGACTGTCAGGAAGTGCTTCCTGGCATCTAAACTGAACTTTGGTTCCCTGAGCTTTGCTCTGTTGGAGAGCGTCCTGCCTTCCTCTGCAGGGGAGAACAGGTCTCTACCCACCTCCGTGTGACATCCCCTAACACACTTGTATGTTGCCAATAGATCCCCTCAGAGTCTCCTCTTCTCCAGGCTGAAGACACCCAGTTCCCTCAGTCTCGCCTCATACAGCTTCCCCTGCAAACTGGCCACCAACCTTGGGCCCTGCGCTGCACTGGCTCTAACCTGGCTATATCCTTCCTGTAACGAGGGGTCCACAACTGAACACAATACTCCAGTTGCGGGTGCACCAGAGTTGTATAGAGTGGTAGTAATACCTTCCAGTGATTACCTTCTAGTAATACCTTCTAGAAGCCACACTTCTGGCTAAGCAACCAAGAGTGGTGTTTGCCTGCTTGACCACCGCATCACACTGCTGACTCAGCCTTCTGTCAACCAGTACCCCAAGATCCCTTTCACAAGTGCAGCTCTCCAGCTACTTGTCCCCTAACCTGTACTTATGACACCCATTCCTATGCCCCAAGTGCAAGACCTTGCACTTATCCACCCTGAACGCCATCCTGTTGTCTCCTGCCCACTTCCATAGTCTGTCCAGATCCTTTTGGATCTGGAGTACCTGCTCCTCAGTTGTGATCACTGCCCTGGTTTTAGTAACATCTGCAAATCTGAACAGCAGACTGTTCACCCCTTCTTCCATGTCATTGATGAAAAGATAAAACAGGATCAGCCCCAGGACAGAGTCCTGGGAAGCATCTAGGAAGCGAGGTGACCTGGCTGTCACCGCTGAGTGAGTCTCCCAAGTAATATCCAGGAGACTGAAATCTCCCATAATTACTGTGTCCCTCCCCCGAGATATCCTTGGAATCTGATCTGTCAGGACATCATCCAGGGTCTCCAAAATGGGGGGGGGGGTACAACTGCTGCACATGGTGCTAGCAGGCAGAACCCCTTGCTGCCACTGCCACAGCCACCCAAGAATCAAGTAGCAAAGGCCAAATCAATAGAATATCCACGAACTATGAATCCACTCATTCAACATGGCAGTGATCCTAACCCAGGAACTGCCCTCCCAGGCCAATGTCCCCCTCTTGCGAGCATTCCTTAGTGTAGTTCCCATGTAGCTCATCATCAACTCCAAGCAGCCATTCAGCATCTTCAAAGCCTCACTGGGATTGGCAAAGGAATTTGGCATAGCAAATGTACCTTTTCACTCATCCAATAGCCATTTGTATCACTCTCACTCCAGTTCAGACCTCATGTGAAACACTCATGTGAAACACTCATGATGTAGAACTCACCCTGACACACACACACACACACACACACACACACACACACACACCAGGAATTGCTACCTAGACCACTGAAGGTCCTGCATTTGCCCTTCTGTATGAGACAGTTTTCCCTCCCTCTTTCTTCATTGGCTTCCAGTACACATATGTGCCAAAGCACACACTCACACACCTTGTCTTTCTCCACCTCAAGACAATTCAGCCCCCAAACGTCCAGGAAAAACACAGCAAAGGCAGGTCTGGGAAGCACAGTCCATATATACAAAGGGGGTATATATGTGTACAAAGACCCAGCAGGTATTTCGAACTGCCTTCAGTGAATGAGGTGAAATTACTCAGGAAGAGAAAAGTGTTCAGGGTTCTATCAGGCAGTGGGGTGCTGTCATTTTTCCCAAGCTTGTCCCAAGTAGTCCTAGGAGGATGTGTCAGCTTGATTGAGGTGTGATCATTAATTTTTCTCTGGTGTGCCTGTTAGCCAGACAAGTGTTAGTTGTACGGTGTGCACTGGAGAGGATCAGGTGGTCATGTGGGTGAAGGTGTGACTGATTGGTATAAATTACCTGGGCATGCAGTGAAGCAGGGTAGGTGAAAGCAGGCGGAGGTAGAGCAGGTGCTAACTCCGCTGGGTAGAGAGGGTACGGCGCCCACACTTCAGGGCTACTGGGGTAAAGTGCAGGCACTGTGAGCTCATCTGCAAGAGAAGAATAAGGAGAGTTCATGGTTATAAAAACAGCAAATGAAGAAGTCAAAACAGCAAAACACAAGAGAACGTTCATCAAAGCCAAGCTACGTTGGTCCCTCTGATCCATTCCGCTATTTTCTCAAAACACCAAGTCAGGAAAGAGGAGGTTCAAAATTCTGCGGTGAGCTAGAACATGAAAGCCAAGATCTACAAGGTATGTTCAAGTCCCAGGTTATTCTGCAGCAGGAACCAGGTGTCAGGGTGGACAAGACACGCCGAGTGGTCTACTGCAGCGATTAATAGCGGGAGAGTGAACCAGTGAAAGGATCCTAAGACAAGTTCACACTTTTAAATTTTAGTCAGGAAGGAAGGGAAGGAAGGAAACCAGCCTCAGCGAGGCTCGGCTGTGAAAGAACACACACAACAACTGCATGATCTTAAAAGCATCTGCTAAGATTTTGTAATAGTGATGTACATGCTAGCAAAGAATATTTGGGAATGAGGATGGGGCTACAGGGAAGAGAAGAATGCCCTCTCAAAATTGTATCCTGATAATGTTCGGAAGTCTGCTCCTAGTGAGCGCCTGCCACAGCAGCCAAATTCCTTGCAGGCTATCTCCCAGCTGCCATAGACCTTTTGTCCTCTATCCTCAGCTGTCACTGGGAAGCAGAAGCAAGTCAAGAGCCGTACACCACTCCTACGTGACAAGAGGGGCTGCAGAGCAAGCGAATTCAGTGTGTGACCTCGAACTTACTCCAGAATGTTCTACAATGTGGAAGGGTTCCTGACAGATATGCAGTGGGTCGTTAGCAGGCATTTAAAGGTGGAAAGGGTTTCCTGAAGAGAGAACTCCAGCCCCTGCTCTCCTAAGCCAGTTCCTTGTCCTACTTGACTAACAGCCCCCTCAGACTTGAACCTCAGGTTCGGCTCATTAGTATTACTAGCAACTCCCAAATACTGTTAATACATAGCCAGTCAAACAAGGTCTCAAGGGTTTAATGCATTAGTCTCCAACCAAGTTCAAACCAACCATCCCGAAGAGCAATATGGGAATATGTGGCCCTCCACACCTCAGGTGTTGTATCCCCTTCTGGACACCTTGCTTTATTTGATTTCTAGACCACCCATTAGCCAGAATGGTTCACGAAGACAAAATACACAAATAAACACAATATACACCAATGAATCGGTAACATTAAGCTCAAACATAAGCAATACAGCAATAAAACAGCAACAGCCACAATAAACCCACAACAGCCATGCTTCAGTCAATTCCAAGGGTACAGTAGTGAAAAAATACAGAAAATTCACTATCAACCAAATAAAAAAGATCTGTAACAGGTTGGCTGAATAAAGAGTTTTTTACCTCACGCCAAAAGGAATATAGAGTGGGTGCCAGGTGTACCTCCTTGGGCAGCTGATTCCACAGGCAGGGTGCCACAGCCAAAAAGGCCCTTCCCCTAGTAGCCGCCCACTTTATTTCCTTTAAAGGTGGCTCTCTGAGAAGGACCTCAGAAATGACTACAAGGTCTGGGTAGGCTTTAAGGAGGATTCCATTGAAACACGTTCAGAAAAGGGCAAAGTAAAGGTCATCAAAGGCTTATTTCACTGTGCCTCCAATTCATTTTGGGAACATAAGCTGCTTCTCTGGTATATAAATTTATTCTACTGCTACTGTTTTAATTCCATGATTACTTCATTGTATGTATGCTATTTTTGCCATTTTCATTATATGTCTTTATTTTAACCTGCAAGATGTTACAATAGTCAAAAGGTAGGGCAGCGATTTTCTAAAAACAAATAAAACCTACCAACACATGAAATACTTTTGTAGTAATATAGCACGAAGATGTTCACATAAAGATTTACAAAATCTTTGTAAAACTGTCTTAGAATTTTTTCCTGAAGGGCGGCATAAAAATCTATTAAACATAAGGCATACTAAAATGGTATTTGTCCATCTTTTTACCTGCAAGGAATAATTACTACACTGCATTATCTGCCAAGTTATTGCTGCATGTTGTACAGGTTTCTGGGACATGTTTGAGGGGGTAATTCAGCTGAAGCATCAGGCTGGGCACATTTGCTGCCCATGTTTTGCACACCACTAACAATTCATTATTGTTTTCTCCACCCTTTGATGCACACATGGTTTTAACTCCTTCTGCTTCTCAGCTCCCCTTTACATTTTGGTTCTTGTATCCATCAAGGGAGGGTCCTGTCAGTCTATCCTCTGCAGTAAATGGAGCAGGTCACTCTCTCTCAGCATTAAGAATACTGTTTTGCTGCGGGTGGAGAGACAATCATGGAAAATAAGGCTATCCGTGGCCACTAGTCACATATTGACATACATACTGGGGGAACAGCAGCAGGAGGGGACTCTTTCCCTCATGTCCTGATTATGGGCTTCGCATGAGCATTTGTGGAAAAGGATGCTTGGCTAGATAGAAATCTGGCCTGATCCAGCACAGCTCTTCTTAGGGTGCCTTCTTTTGTTTCTCACCTAGCAGGATGAGAGAATCAGAAAATCCAAAGCAAAGGTGACACTCATTGTCACTGCCCAAATGGTATGCATCTCCCATATCGTACCTCAAAGCAGGATCTTAGGCTTGGAAAGATCTATTTGATTAATTCTGACACACTGATAAAAAAAATCTATATTTCATCCCATCCCAAGTGCCAGAAAATACGGTGGAGAGGACAGGGAAGTTTACCCACATGAAATCATGGATTCTGAAGACGTTCTCTGGATTCAGGGAAGGTCTAAATCCCAGATGACATGCTTCTACAAATGGGGATTCAAAATATTTTAAATTTCCCAAAACAGAGGAAGGTGCAAGGGCAAGGATGTGCATGCGAGGATCAACTTTTATTACACTGTCATCTCAGGGACTTCCACACCAGCCTATATTCTGTGTGGACCCATTAGCTGAATTTGCCATAGTGCAAATTCATGGAACACGTTTGTGTTCCATGCTAAGTCTAGCCTACCACATGGTGGCAGGCTCTGGATCGGGTCGCCTGCTCACTCCAACAGCTGCAGGGCTAAAGTATCCCAACTGCATGCAGAGGCTCTCTCACATTCGGAATGCACACTCTTAGTGCGCCATGATAAATTAATGAAAGCCCCTGTGAACCCAAGGAACCCAGCCATGCATCTCTGCAAGAACCACTGCACTAGCCTCCTCTTCTGCCCAGCCCTCTTCCACCTGGAGCAGGTAATTCCGCTGCATCAGGGTTTTCCTAATCACTCCAAAAGCAGAGCATGGCAGAATAACTCCCCCTCAACAGAGCTATGCTTAGAACAGCAGAAACACAGGTTGTCAGCTCCTCTGAGATATGCAGTTCTTATTCTCCCACACTCTAGAAGTAGACCTTTTGGGAAAAAAAGTTATTAAGAACAGGAGGGGGGAAGAGAAAGGGCTACTCCTATCAGAGGGAGGCACACAAAGGGTCATTTCGAACAGACCTTCAAAATAAAATAGTTTCTAGGAAGTCCTTCAAGGAGAGGACAGCTTCTTTTCCTCTGCTTCTGGAGCAATTCTTAAGGCTGTGTTCACCAATCTATTAGGGGATCAAGTACTTGGTAGTACTGACACCTTTTTCTTCCTACTTACGCCTGACATACCCGGTGCTTCTTTATATCTCCGGCACTCACCTGTCCCTGATGAGTAGAAATGAATTCAGGCCAGGCAAGAGAATAAAATGAGTTGCTCATAAGATCTGCTTTACCCTTGTCCTGACAGAAGGGCACTACGATTATTTTCCTTGCCCTTTTCTGCAGCTCTTCCAGCTCCGTGATGCCTTTTTGAGATGAGCTATCTGAACTGTACACAGTATTCCATATGTGGCTCCATGATCAAGGCAGTGTAAGTTTTGTTACTTCCAATCCCTTCCCTAATAATGGAATTTGCTTCTTTCTTTACCAGTGGAGTTGATGTTTGCATTGACCAACCCACTCAAGAACTCTTTTGCTGCCAGTTCAAATGCTGATGCATGCAAGACCCAATGTATTGTTCTTCCTAAGAGCAGAGCCAGCATGCCATGCTAGAGTGCCGGAACGCAGCCTGCCATCCCATCCAAGGGTTGGTAAACCAATGGCGGCTTTTCTTGATCCATCATCATCTCTGTCATCAGCGTTGCTTCATCTCCTTCCAAGTCTTCCAGAGTTGACAGTGAGGGGGAACAGATTAACCTCAGGACTGAAGTACACACAGCAGTAAAATGTATAGCATGCAGGTGTGTGTAACTTAGTTTTTGTGTAAGCGAACCAGGTTGGGACCTCCCATCCCCTGCCGCTCTCAGGTGGCCCCTGGAAATGCACCAGGCTGCAGCTCTGCAGGAGGCTTCCAAGGGTATGTGAAACCTTCCCTCCCTTTCCCTATGCATCTCCTTTAAATGTGTTCCTTCTGCACATGATGTAAGGCCTTCAGAGAAACCACTTCCATGATGTCCCAAGGGCGGTCCCAAGGCAGATGGAGGAAGCCTGTGTGCTTACACGAGAGTAAAATATAAAACCATCATCTGTGTGCTGCAGATTGAATATAGTGTATATATAGTTCAGCCCTCAATCTTCAGTCAGTTTCACTGTGAATCATTCATTCTTCTGAGCTGGCAGCAGTCTTGTCCATACAAGACTGCTTCATCACAGCTGAAAGTGGCTTTCCTTAGAGGCCTCGCACCAACAGTTGGTAAAGAAGTATCTGGAGTGCCTCCCATGGCACAGCGCTCCTTAAATCAACTGCTGATGCCACACTTTGCCAAGCAAAACTGGCTAATTTCTTGACCCAACAGGGGGGATGACTGCACCCAGAGGCAGGTACCAGCTGGAGAGGAGGAGGAGGACCATGACATAGAGGCAGCAAGAGAGGCGGAGCCTCAGCTATGACTGCCCCCTTGCCTACCTGTTTGAGTGCAGCAACTTAAAGTCGAGCAGGCAAGCTTCAAGTCTGCAAGGAGGACACCAGAGCTCCTATTCCTGCCCAGCTACCCTGGCTCCTCCTTCCTGTCATTGCTCAGCCATTGCTGTGATGCTATCCCCATGGATGAGGGGAGGTGCACTATCCACCCCGAAGGGGGGAAGCCACTGGAGAGCTCTTGCCCACTGCCAGCTCTTTCCCACCACAACTCTCTCCTTGAGTGGGGTTCGCAATCCTCCCACCTTTCCACACTGTTTCTAAGGCACAAGGGCAGAGAGCACTCCAGAGCACAGACTCAAGTGTTACATCTCAGCTGAGCTGCCAGGAGATGCACTGCACTGGAGAGTAAGTGTTTATGCCGTTGATGTTAAAGTAAGATAAACAATGAAAAGTTGGAGACAGCTAATGCAAACAACCTTCCCTTCCTCCATTCATTCCTAAAGCTTGTGCTCATTCTTGGGGAGAGAACAACAAGCCTATAAATACACATAGGGCACCGAACCTGTAACCCAGAATCAGTTTAGTAGGAACGCAATGCCAAGGGACATTTTAATACATCCAGGAATCCCTCCCTCCTCTCATCTGCCCAAATAAAGCTTTTGGGAAATGGCTCCAATACATAAAATGCATAAGCAAACGGAAAAGGAATGACTGGGGCAGGCATACGACAAAGCATGCTCCAGGAAAGTCACACGGGTTCAGCAACGAAATCACCAGCTGGAGACCAATATGCACACACAATGTTATGATTCTGCACAGCATGAATACACTGGAGGCAGACAACAATTTATGCAGCGGTCGAAGACACTATGCAAGAACCATCACTGCTTGTTGCGTGTACACACGCTCCTACTTGGTTAAGACTCGTTCTGCAGGCATTTTAAGCACTCTCCTCCCCCATAAAGCCCTGGTTAACCTGGGAAAATACTGGGGCAATAGAAACAAGTGTCTACTCTAGAAGCAAGAACTAATATTGTCCGACTCCAGTGTTACACACACAGTCAGTCAATCCATTTGATATACTCTCTTGCAAAATTGGAACTCTCCATTTAAAAAACATTTTCTTTAGCATGTGAAAATACTTTCTTCATGATTCCAGAAAAAAACATATACTCTTGGGGTGGGAAACTCTAAAACTATTTGATAGGAATAAATATAACCTCTTTCCGCTGCCCCCAACAGTTCTGATTTTGACCATGAAAATGCAGGAGCATCAAATTTCACATGACGTAGTGGACAGTATCCCAGCAAAGCACAGGCCAGGGCATGTGTGGCATGATATTGTTAGGTCTGAGAACAGTCTTGGTAGTCCCTACCTAACTGTAGGGCAGTGAAACAGAAACATGGCAGGCGCCATGAACTACTGGGGAAGACTCTGCAGAAGTGCAGGGCAATATTCTAAATAAAGAGGAAACAGAAAATAGCTGGACCTTTTTGCTGCTCTGCAGGAACAATGCCGTATGTCGAAATTTAGCATCATTCCCATTTTGCAGCACAGGGGAACACCGCAGGGCTGCTCCGAATGTCATTCTGCCAAGCTTGGAGCAGCAGCAGAAGCATTTTCTCCCTTCTTGCTTCCCAGGTGCCTCATCTTAAAATGGTCGGCTCACCTACTGAACAAAAGTTAGTAGGGAACAAATGGCCCCACAAAAATGGGAGTGAGAGATCCAGCTCCACAGTAGTTATGGGGAGAGGGATTGTTTGGTTCATTTTGTTTGTTTTTGTCACCATCCACGAAACCACTTTTGCAACTTTGCTGCCCATTCTACCTAGTTTGAAGACATCCTTTGGCACTCTGCAAGATTCATTTGGGATTTCACCAGCTTGAATAATTTGGTGTCATCTATTAGCCTGGTTACTGGCTCCAGAAAATTTATGAACACGTCCAGTCAAAATGCAAATGCCTGGCCGTTCCCACTGCTTACTGCCTCCCACTGCAAGAACTACCCATTAATGGCTTTCCTCTGATTCTTATTGTTTAGCCAATCACCTATCCATAAAAGGAGTTGTCCTCTTTGTCCATGACTGCTATATATCTTCAGAAGCCTCTGCTGAGCAACTTTATCAAAAGGTTTTTAGCTTTCCAAGGGTGGACCATCTCCTGGATCAACCAGGAAGGCAGTCTTTCCAGACTCAGAGCCTGGCTAGGAGAAAAGCAGCCAGGGAGAGAGGTTTCCAGGGAGAAAGGGTCCCCTCCACACACACACATGCACACGTGCGCGTGTGCGCACACACACACACACAGCTGTTTCATTCCATCTCCACTGTTCAGACAATCTGCTCTATAAGGCACAGGTTGTTACTGTAACATGAATTTCCGCCCTTTGAAATGCTCCCTAAATTTTGTAATGAACCCGGGTACAAAAGCTTAGAAGAGTGCCTTGATGGGCCATTTTAAATTACAACATCCCATCACAGAATCAGGAGCTCATTCTGAAACTGAGGGAGGCAGCCAGTGTGATGGTATGTGAGAGGCAACCATACAAATTCTGTGGAAGCACTTACATAATGGATGCCTGTAAAGTATTAGAGCAGCCTCGGCTGTTGCACTCCTCGTTCCAAAAATGAAATATACTGAAGAGATTCAGCAAGTACCAAAGAGATCCAGCCAGTACGAATTCAAATATTCAATAGAAACCCCTGGGCCATCTTTTTCTCTTCAAGGTGGCAGGGACACCCAGTTGCTAGGGTGTTCCACATTACCCTGACCCTAGAAATATATCATTTGATGTCAGCTTCTCGGCTCTGTCAAAGCAAGCATGGAGCAACACTGCTAGCCATCTTAATGAGAGGCATGCCAACAGACAGAGGCCGGGACCTCTAAATTTGCAACTGCATTTGTCTGCCAAGTGACCCATGAATTGGAAGCAAACTTTCAGGCCAGGATTCGGGTATGTTTTGAGGGCAACAGGAAATGAAGTACTTTACTGCTGGAGTCAACTACTGCTGTTGGAAAAGATAAGACACAAATGCACTGCCGTTCCCTCAAGCCTCAGCTGTCAAAGGCCGCTGGGCTTACTTGTTGGTTTATAATAAGGTGCACACACTTACATGGCTCCCTGGTAATGAACTGAGGTACAGTGTTAGGGGTGGCAGGAGTGCTTGGATTTGGCGTTCCCACTAATTTGCTCTTAGCCATCTTCGTATTGGCCTTAGCGAACTCTAGTCGGAGTGTCTGAGGGATTTCTGGGTCAAAGCGAATGCCCTTTTGCAAAGAGAGAGAAAGAGAGAGAGAAAGGGGAAAAAATTAAGAAGGGTCAGTTCTTCTTGCAGCAGTAAGAAAGCAGGCAAGTTGTGCTAAAACGTGACCAGACTGCAGAAAGTATCACAACACAGCAGCAGCATTGTACAACACAAATCCATAAAGAGGGAACTGGTATCCTTCTGAGAAATACTTACTACTGGGAACTGCCAGAAATAAACACCAAATCGGATGAAAGAAAAATGCATTCCAGGGCATTTTAGTATTATTTATTTATTAGATTTTTATCCTGCTTTTTATTTTTTTTAAAGAACTCAAAGCAGCTTACATCATTCTCTTGCTCTCAACCTTATCCCCACAACAACAACCCTGTAGGGTATATTGTGCTGAGAGTCTGACTGGCCCAAGGTCACCCAGTTGGCTCCACGGCTGTGTGGGGACTAGAACCCAGATCACCTGAGTCCCAGTCCCCCACTCCACACCACACTGTCTATCTTCATCCATCTTCACCCAGCAAGATAATTCAGTAGATAATATACATATAATGATTATAGGGGCCAGTGATTTATTGTTTTAAAAGACAAAAACCAAAGGTGATTGCAACCATTCAAGATATATTTTGTTCGTTTGCCATTTATTGAGTGATTTCTACCCCACCTTTCAGGACTTCAAAGTCCTCATGAGAAGCTGGATTGGAAAACAACAAAACAATGAAAAGACCAGTACAAAGTAAGGAATGGGTGAGTAGAGCCACATATGTGCATGCTAAGCTTGGATGGAGCACCTGAGGTGATGCTGATATGAGCCCACAATGGGTCATTTTAAGTTCCATTAAGAGCACTCCGCATTTGCAAAACTCAAGTGACAGCACAGTCTAAAGTCACCACAGTTCCAGGAGTGATCTGCCATGACAAAACTGGGATCCAAAAGAGATTTACGGGCATTTAGAAATATAGAAACAGAGCAAGTCAGAAGGGGCCTCCCGGGCCATCTAGTCTGACCTCCAGCACCAGCCGGCTCTGCTCACGACATGCCCACCATGTGCATGTCTAGCCTATCTTTGAACACCCTCACCGATGGGGCCTCAACCAACTCTCAGGGAAGCCCATTCCACACCCTCGGGGTCCTGACTGTCAGGAAGTGCTTCCTGGCATCCAAATGGAACCTTGGCTCCCTGAGCTTGGCTCCATTGGAGTGCGTCCTGCCTTCCTCTGCAAGGACCTAGTAAGTAGGGGCCTACTAGGGCCCTAGTAGTATTTCTAGCCTAGTAAGCAATCCCCCCACCCCACCCCCACTAAAAAAAGGCTGAAGAAATTAAGCATGCCAGCCTACAGAAGAAAAAAGCCAACTGTTCTTGCAAATAAAGAGAGATACATTTATAGTGCTCATTATATAAATCTGTAGAGGGAGAAGTGCCATAATGGAGTCTTCCGTGAAGCTATTCATGCAATTGCAGGGGAGAAACACTTACCAAGAAGCCAAAAGCCTCCTTGGGGGAGCGGGGGGGGGGGCTTGATCTGAATGGCATCCTCATCACTATCATCTAAGAAGCAACAACTTTAGCACAGCTCAGTTCAGGTGCTTCAGATGCATTATTTCAGGAATCCTCCCAACAGTTACATAAGGCAGACTAGTATTATCATCCCAATTATTGTAGGTGGCAGAAGAAGGAACAGCAGTTTGCCTAAGGCACCCTGTTCGGTTCATGGCCAGGGAAGGCTATGAATCAGGGAGGTGCTTTCTGACAACACAAATATGCCACAAACCTCTATCATGAGGTTAATGTTTTCCTTCCTTTTCCTCACTACATCAGGAATTGTAGTTCAAGGTACTGATAATTCTCAGCCTAAGATCTCTAATACTACCTTAGAGAATTCCCCAAATTAAGCCAGTTTCGGCCTGTAGCGTCAGCACAGCATGCAAGATGGTGCACGTTCCACTTCTAAGACTCAACTTGACTGGTCCTGTTTTTCAGAGATGGATACTGCACAGATCTCAACAAACACTCCATAATTCCTAGCAAGCACTTGATCATGCAGAAGAAACATCCTAATACCACAGGCCTGAAAGTTAAGTCCAAATTGTCTTTTAAAAATAAAAACTTATGTTTTAAAATGTTTATTAAAACTGGAGATGAACAATAATAATAGTTTATTGACAAAAGAACAACACCTCCATCTGGTATGCAGACCAGGATGGAATAAAGAGTTGCAAGCTGGTGTCTGTCTGACTTTTCCAAAAATAATTTCAGAAGCCAAGGATCAACTCTGATGCTTTCAAAGGATTTTCTTGTGTCAGGCCTAGAAAAAAGCCACTACTAATGCCACAAAGGTAGTGTTTGGATCTGCTGTTTCCATGCCACTTCACAGTGTGTTGCCAGTGGGTCACTGAAATGTTGTTGTGGGCAGTTAATTACACAAGTACAGGCTAATGCCACAAGTTCAATTAACAGGATAGGAGAGGAAGATACACAAGAACTGCTAGTCTTTAGGGGAAGAGAGTCTTAGAAATTAAATATTTAGAGAAAGCTTATAGGTTGGGGGGAGGCAATAAATTAAACTTGATTTTTTCAACTCTCATCTTTAATTAAAAGCACACAGTTATGTCAACCAGACTTTCCAATTCCGGGAATAAGCTAGAGACAAAAATCAGTGTTCATTAAGGATGCGGGGGGGAAAAAATAAATTATCTATGTTACAAGCAAGAAAGAAAGGTGTAGAAGCTAATACACTAGGAGTTTAGTGCAGGAGTTTAGTCTGGAAAGTTCATATTATTTATGCCCTGGATTTCGTAGAACTTTGGATCTCATCCATATAATGCAACAAGAAGTTGTGAAGTGATCCATGGTGAGAAAAGTCAGAGCTAAATTGTTAAGAGGCACTTGTAGCCTTATTCAAAAATGTAGAGCAATCTAAGCATTACAACTCCAACCCTATTAAGGCCAGTTCTGACATGGTTTTGCTTTCAGTCCTGTGAGCCTCCACCTGCAGTCTGAAGCACTACAGGCCACAGAGAAATGGATCCACCTGAGTGATGGCAAAACCAGCAATAAGCAGATTTGAGAGCCACCTGAGGGAGGACTCAGCTTTGCATGCAGGAGGTCTTGGGTTTGACAGGGAGGGAGTGATGGGGAAGCCTTCTGCCTCAGAGGCTGGCCAGCCACTATCAGTTAGGAGTAGGAGATACTGGGCCAGATGGTTGAATCATAAGACCCAGTTTAAGGATCACCACATTTCCTGCACAGCAGTTCCTACAGTAGAGATGAATAATATATACAAGGACAGGTTCAGGGGATAGGTAAAGCCAAAGAAAGAGCTCCCTTTCATATGTACACTGCAAAAGACAAGATATCTGGTTGCATCTGAAACCTCTGAATGGAAGCTAAGCCCTCTAACAAGCTATCGTGAGGCAAAATCTAGCAGTAACATTTACTTGCAATCAGACTAGCAAAGGAGTCCATCCAAGGACTCTTAGCCAAGCCGTCTCTCTGAGATGCTAATTTTCTAGATGGAAAGAGTCCACTACCACAGAGAAGCATGATATGTCAGAGCCCAGATGCTGCTGAACGTGACTTGGGGAAAGATCCTGGACGCAACTGTATCGTAACATTAAGTTTCATGGCATCCATTGCTTTTCTCTGTGTCATGTTATATTTTGTTTGCGTGGTAATGTAATTTTGGGACACAGACACTATCCTAGTACCAATATAATTTATTAGCAAGGGCCAAACTGAAGTGCAAATGTGGCCCATAGTCTTGGCCCTTCAAGTTCCCCCTGTTAACTTCAAATCAGAAAAAAGACTCTACTCAGAAACCAGCTAGTATAGTTAACAGATTGAAAAAATGCAAACTTAAACTCACTGGGAGTCTAAACCTTTCCACAAAAAACAACATCAGGGTTGGATTTTTTTTTTTTTTTTGGTTCCAAATTAAAGTTCCAACATCCTTTTAAAACCTCAGAAGTTTAAATGACCTAATTTGTTTGGCAGCAAAATCTGGGGCCATCGGCTTTACAGCAAGTCACATTCCTAGAACATCTTTAGCATCAGCACCATATAAGGTAGTCTGTATCCTGTTCTGCTCCACTCTTATCCCTGGAGATTAGCACAGCCAAAAAGACCTTGTACATTTAAAAAATGAAGACAGAAAAACAGAGTGAGAAACTGGAGTGCTTACTGCCTGCTTTTCTCCTAGTCTGAAAACACTGCTCTCTGAACTTAGGAGATTTTTACTCTTGAGAGACACTAATAATAAGGTTAACTCTATAAACTCAAAAGATTATATTTTCCAAGGGTAACTTCCCCCATCCCCAGACAAAGCAGCTGTAAGGTGCTGAAGCTGTACTCTCCATGATGGAAATGCTTCTCCCTAATTCCAGGTGTGGAAGAGTTGGGGATAATCCATTTCAAGGTACTTATCATATGCTTAGAGGCATGAGAGGCAAGCCCGGTACAATTTAACCCCCTCACCCAAAACCAGTAATACCTATATCCCAATCATGAGGAAGCTCACACATATATTGTCATCACTTGTGTGCCACAACATCAAGAGATGGGTGACTGTCAAGTACAGACTCTCAAGAACATATACTGATAAAAGCTTAAAAACACATCATTTCAGTGAAATATAGGTGTGAACATGTTCATTAGCCCAAAACAGATTCTTTTTCCAGTGAAAGGTCACTACATCTTAAACAACTGTCTGCATTCACCAATGGTGAACAAAAGATCAATGGAAGGTATCTTTTCAACTCCCTATCAAACAAATGTCTCAGTTCTTATTAAGTGCACTGTCCTAAAGCATGCTTTGTGCTTTTTTATGTGAAATTCAGTGACCCTAAGCCAGAAGATGCTACTCATGCATCACACTGATTGAAATCAGTGGGTCTTTAGCTGTTTCCATAACAAACTTTCCCCATCTTGTATTGTGGTGGTAAATCCAAGCCATGAACATCATTAGCCTACCTGGAGACAGACAGGCAATGCACGTACAATGCAGGGAAAG